CTCCCATCTAGCAACCATCTGTTCTCTGTAACTATGAATCTATTTCTATTTTGTTAATTCATTTATTCTGTTCTTTAGACTCTACATGTAAGTGAGATCATATGGTATTTGACTTTCTCTGACTTATTTCACTTAGCATAATATACTGTAGGTCCATCCATGTTGTTGCAAATGACAAGATTTCATTCTATTTTATGGCAAAGTAATACTCCATTGTATAAATGTATCCCAATTTCTTTATCCAATCATCTATTGATGGGCATTTTGGTTGCTTCTATATCTTGGCTATTGTGTATAGTACTGCAATAAACATAGGAGTGGATATATTTTTTCACATTAGTGTTTTGGATTTTTTTTTTGTTAAATCCCCAGGAGTGGAATTGCTAGGTCATAAGGTAGTTCTATTTTTAATTTTCTGAGGAACCTCCATAGTGTTTTCCATAGTGGCTGCACCAATTTACAATCCCACCAACAGTGCACGATGGTTCCCTTTTCTCCACATCCTCGCCACCACCACATCCTTAGCGCTAAGTCCTAGAAACATTGTCAATTAGGACCTCAATGTTCTCCCAGCCCTCTTTCTGACTCTCTGTTTCTGTTATGTGATATCTATTCTCAAAGAACATAAACCCCCAGACGTCTACATTGGGTTTTCAAATATTTCAATTGGCAACTAGAGATGTATATGACATTTCCCTGGAGGCCACAGATAAGCAAAATGGGTATCTCAGATGGAAAAGCTTATAATCCAACTAGATTATAAGCCCCTGGAAGGCAGGTGGGAATGCTATATCTGATATAACACCAATCTTCGCATAGTCTTAGAAACTTAGTAAACTGAGCCAGTATGACCCAGTGGATAGACCACTGGACTAGGATTTAAGAAATCTGAGTTATACTCTAAACTGTGTCAAACTGTATTAGTTTTTGTCCTTGTCACAATCCTTGCCACCATTCCTGTCATTCCTGGTTTACCCAATGGGCAGTTTTAATGTGGCCCTGGCTGGTCCCCACATTTATCTGTAAAATGAATGAAAATGTAGGCTAAAAGATGATTAAGGGACTTGTTAGCAACAAAATGTTTTTAAATATCCTCTTAAAACTCTTGCTATTTGGGAGCCATAAAAACTTGTGGTCTACAAGTCATTTGAGTTGGAGACAATTACCAAGTGGTAATGATACAAACATCCAGCTCAAAATCAACACTGGTAAAAGCAGGTGGACAGTTTCAAGTCCATAACGTTCTGAAGAGCTTATATAATAGGGCACATTGTGTCCTACTGACATTTTTTCAAGAATAGATGATACAAAGTACCCCAAACGTCAATCTTGATTTTTTAGAGGAAAAAAATCCATTTAGAAATCATCTGAAAATAGGCTGATTGGCTTTTTTCTTCTGTAACAAATTTAATTCATTTTGATTCTTTCTTGAGACTTATGGCAGATACTGAAATCTCCTTTGCAAATCTTTTTTTATATCTGTATGACTTCATTTTTTCCCCCTACTCTGACATGTTTTACATACTAAAAGCATGAGAGAAAATACCCTAAAGATAAAGATAAAACTATGTGTAGTTTTTATGTTCATTGCAAGAAATAGCTTCACATTCTCTGTCCTATTGCACTTAGGGAAATTACTTGGGATTTTCTGTTCTTCTTTTTCTTAAACAGCTTGCAAACCACAAGAGGCCAGGCTTACCAGAAATAAATGTCTGTGTTTTCACTTCTCTCCATTTCTATCAATGATAGAGAAGTTGAAAACTTCCCAGTGCTGAAATATTACAACTTTTAAATGAAGATAAAAACACATTTAGCTTATGAGATCATCATCCTCCCTAACAGAATTCTCACTCCAAGCATGAAAAGAACATCCATTTTTCATAGCCACAGGTTTTAGAGGAAAGTAAAATTTGGCAGTTCACTCAAATGGGTTAGTTTGTTGTCAGTTCTCTGGAATCACCTTGTGTTATAATCACAGAAAACATCAAAACTTGTTCTGTGTCAGGGAAGGGAAGAGGACATTTAAGTAAGAGCCTTCCTTGGCTATTACTTTTGTCTTCAGTAGAAAGAACTGTAGGGAAAAGATGGGAAGGCTCCAGGAAAATTTTTACCTATCTAGCAGTAGAGAGATGGCTTCTAAATTACTAAACAAATAAGGGACTCTAATTCTCAAGCTCCCTCACTCACACATACACAAATTGGAAAAGGGAATATAATGTGGAGATTAAGTGGTTAAGAGGACATGCCAGAAGAGAGACCAAAACCAGGTGAGAAAACTGGGTTTTGTCTGAACAGTGTCAGTAAATCTGCCTTGTTTTATACCACTGTGTCTAATGTCCTGCTCAATGCCAGGTCACTGAGTTGTTTACAAAGTATGACATGTTTTCTTTTGAGACACTAGAGAGTACTGGCTATTGAGTCATGATGGGCCAGTAGAGCTTGTGTCAGTTTTACCCTGGCTCATTAGAAACTGACACCCTAAATTTCTTGCCATGCTTCTTTGGCCAAACATGCTTCTCAGAATAGCTAAGGCACCAAGGGCCTTTGCAGTAAATTTAAACTGTCTTTTAGGATGGGATGAGTCTGAAACACTTTGCCTGTAGGGAAATATAGGGCAATGATTAAAGAACATGAACTTCATACTCAGAGACTTGGGTTCAAATCATTGGGTCACTACAAGCTGTTTGACATGAGACTTCACCTCTTGAGGCTTCAATTTTCTCATGTGTAGAATGATGTCAACAACGGCACCTCCTTTGGAGGTATGTTGTGAGTATTGGGTTACATAATGCCTGTAAAGCACTCAGCACAGTATCTGGCAATGAGGAAATACAGAACAAATACTACCTAACAACAGCAATAACAACAAACAACAACAACATTATAGGATTACCTCCTACCATTCATTATTGCATGCCAGGCATTCATTGGTTAGAGCAAAAAGTGACCATCTACTGTGTACCAGGTAATGTGCTAAGAGCAGTGGAGAGCTGTGAGCAAGACAAGATGTTTTTGATCCTGAGTGTGGGAAGAAGAAGAACAGGAGAGAGAATAATTGATCACCAACATGTAAAATAAGAGGTCAGAGCTGTGTCAAGATCATTCAGAGCTTCTCAGTGTCCCTGGAAAGCATGGCAGGTGCTCTGTTCCATATTCAGCTCCCTCTCTTCTGGCATTAAAAGCTCTTCTCTTTCTCATAACTGGCTGGTTTCACTGGAATCTTATCTACAACTCAGCCTTGCCCTAGTTCCCGGGACCAACCTTGACCCAAGACAGGAGATAATTGGCTCCAGCCCCATAGCTGGGGGCTAAGGTTCACATTGCCTTGCTGCTTGTCTGACTGGAAGATGGTGCCCTAGTTTTGATATTTGAGGTCCAGTCTCATTTTAAGCTATAATTCCCTTTCCATGTCCTTATTTTTAGAAATGAACTTCTGCCTTTGTGCTTGTTCCTGAGGACTTGTTCCAAAAACTTATTTAGTGACCACAGTACTGTCTTACAATTGGATACCTGCACCATATTCTTGCTGATTCCCATTTCAAGTATTACAGTCCTTATCCTGAACCTCAGTCTAATAGGTAACGTGGACATTTGCTTCTTGACAGCTTCTTTTCAGTATACCTACCTTCTAGATTCTTATGTCTTCACTTTACCTGTGGTCTAGACAGCTTTGCAAGTAATCCTTGTCTGTTAGAACTAAACCTTTGCCACCATCACCTGCACTTGGGTGAGTTCTCTAGTGACTGGCTCTCCCACTGAGGTGTTCATAAGTGAAGTTATCTCCATATGTCTCACTGGGTCCCCAAGATCTGACATTCCTAATCAGATGCCAAAACCTTTTAATACAAAACCACTGAGGAGCTCTGAAGATACTGCTGTACCTTTTTATTAAAAGCCCGAATTATCTGTATAATTCATTTGTACTTGGCCCATTGGCAAGCCCTTGGCAAGGCCATTCTGTTCATTCATTAATTTATTCAACAAGTATTTGTTGAATTTCTGTTATGTGCCAGCCTCTGAGATATTGAATCAATATCTGTCCTCAAAGGAATTCATAGTCTAGTTGGGGCAGCTGAACTTTTAAATAGATTATTATAATACAAGTTCAAAAGTGTTATAAGAAAGCAAAAAGTACTCTAAGGAAGCAAAAAGCAGGAGCACCTAACCAGACTGCAGGTGGGTAAAAGGAATTAGGGAAGCCTTCCTGAAAGAGGTGACACCTCTGAGTTCTGGAAAATTGGTAAATGATGTTAGCTGGCTAAGAGAGGCAAAGACATTTTCAGGTATGTCCTAAGTTAAAGCTGGGCATCCTCAGAGAACGTCACATAACTTGCTATAGCTGGAACAATGAGTGTGAGGGGGAAGAGTCCAAGATGAAGCTAGAGAGGGAGGTGGGTGCCAGATTGTGAAGCACTTTATTTGCCATGCTAAGGAACATGAATTTTATCCTGATTTTTAAAGTGGTAAATTACAATATTGTAGAGATCTGATTTGCCAGGGTAAGAGCAGAGGCAGGGAAACCAATTAAATGACTGACAAATGGTAAGAAACAGAACTAAGATAATGATGGTGGGAATGAAGAGTGTGTCTGGATTTGAGAGACATAAGAATTAAATTGATAAGACATGGCAATTGACTAGATATGGGAGGAGCAATGAAAAACGATGATCAGGTTGCTTAAGTAACTAGTAGGTGGTGACTCTGCTACCCGAGACAGGGAAAACAGGAGGGAGAAATTTTCAATAGAGGGCAGTTTGTACTTAATGTTGCCAAATAGAATTCCCCAATTTTACTTTCCTTTACTAAAATAATCCTGTTGTCCAAAAGATGCTATTGACAAGCTACTTGTACAGAATTCAGGTGTAAAAGAAAACCATTTTTCTTACAGATCATATAAAAACAATACAATTGGATAAGTATTGCACTTGAAAATTAAATCCTCTATCTTTGTTAATTGAAAAGCATAGAAGTAAATGAAAATAGCGTTAAAAAGAACTTACCCCATAAACAAGTTCTCCAACCATGCCATTCCATATTTTAGTCTCTGGATCTCTTGCACCATATTTTCCATCACCAACAATGGACAATTTGTATTTGATTCTTACATGTTTGGCTATTTCATAGGCTAAGTCTACACAATAGCCTTCATATCGCTCATTTCCTTCTAGTTGCTCATGGTTCTTCTTATACATTACATATGGTGATTCCTTTGGGACCAGACGGAAGATCAAAGGATTACTCCTATACATTTTTGTAAGAAATTATAAATGTAATCATGAAGGCCTCTTCCTCTCCACCCCTACTGTGGCTATTGCACTTTGGTGTGTGAAAAGAGACTTTAAAGTTTTTGCTTAATAAGCAGAAGAGCCTCATTCAACTATTCATTGGGCTCCAAATCCCTCAGAGTCCTTAACTGATAACTTAAGGAATTAGAGAGGATTTAAGTTATTTATGAGAGTTTGAAAGAGGGACTAGTTTCTACCTGTAAAGTATTCGATTTGATCAAACCAGGCAGAGGTGTTTCCCTTAGTTACATGAAGGTGAACTGCCTTTGATTTCTTGCTATTTATCATGTAGGAACTACAGCCAACTCAGGCAAGCCCTAGGGAAGCACTGTGATCTTTCTGAGGTCACAGTCTGTGGTTTATTCATTTTTACATCTGCAGGGCCTAGTGTAGAACCTAGGACAAAGTAAGTATTTGATATGTATGTTTAAATGAAAGGTAAACTTCAGTCAAATCTCCATTCAATTAATCACAATTTCAGACTTACTGGCATACTCATTTTTAACTTAGGTTTGTACTTTATTCAGTAAAATCATACCAGCTTTTAGAAAAACATTTTAAAACTAATTAAGAATACTATCTCACATTTCAATAGTGCTTTGAATTTTGCAGAAAAGCTTTACATGGTGAATATTGTCTTGAAATGGTCTTATGACATATGTAGGAGATTATTAAACCCATTCCATAAATTTAAAGAAAAACACAACCTGAGGCTCAGAGAAGTTATGACTTGTACAATTAAGCACAAGTTTACTAGTCTACTAGTGGTAGACCTACTATTAGAACCCCAATCTACTATCTCCTTCACACAACACTGTCTCCCTCACAGTGAAGAATTAAATTTCATGTCCAGATGAAACATCAGTCCTGTAGTGGAAGGAGGGGGGTGAAGAGGAGAATGATATCTGAAACTGTTCCAAATTTCTATTATTTGTCTTTTAAAAATGACATTCAGTTCATTATAAGAGCAAGATACTTTGAGAGGTTCCTAAGCTGACCTATTGGAAGTTTTCACTGCTTGAACTTGAAGTATTTCCTACTGGCTGAATAATGTTTTTTCAGAAAGCGAAATTTTGATGTACAGAAAGCCCACCTACCTTCTATCTATACTTACCAGAATGGTAGTCACTACTATGGTCCGGTTCTCTGAGGATGCGCTATCATTGCTGATTTGTTGATCTGAGAAAGGTACAAACCTTTCATACTCATTCCAGTAGCCAGCCTAGAAAGAACAGACATTTGACTTGTTGCCTATTTTTTCACTCAAAAATTACACCATGAAATTTAAGTGCTGTGGAATGAAACTTGTTTTTTAAGTCACTTGATTTTTATAGGGATTGATGTCCTGTTTCCTTCTGTCTTGCCATCTTCACCAGAACCCCAACACCAGCACACACAGATGTGCTATTTCTTCATCCTGGGGGCGCCCATCCCTACCTTACCTTTACTGATATTTTGTAAAATAATTTAGCCCACTGTAGAACAATCATCCTTTTTTCCCCTTTAAATTCATATAGCAGAAAAATGTTTTGCTTTGAATTGTAGGAAAGCTGGGATGTGTGGGGTGGGAAACCAGTGAGTAGCCTGTAGAAATGACACAGGATATTTTATGTTCTGAGGTTTTATCAAATGGCTAATAAATCCCCACTGCATGCTTAACTCAACTATTAGTGTGATAGAATCAAAATAGTTATTATAACATTTAACTGTAGAGAAATATATGTTGTTCAGAGTCCTTTTGGTGGGTGAGTTGGCAAACTGAAGAGATGCCTTCTTTCCAATTATTTTGCTAAAACTGTGTGTACCTTGGAAGCTTCTGTTTAAATAAAAGCATGCTGTAAAATTTATAATTATTTTACTTTATTCTAAGAAGCTGTTAATAACTCTTGAGTCTACCACTTATAGAGCAAACCTTAGAGAGAAATACTCCTTTTAAACTGTGTAGAAGGAACACTGATTACAAAACAACTGCATCGTTGTTTACACTACTTGCTTAATGAAAAGGCAAAAATGATGTGTGGAAATTTGCCTTGTGTGTGTTTTCTAACACCTATTTTCTTGCATCTGAGTTCTGTCACCATGAAAAAAACATTTTCTTTGGATAGTGGTTTGGTTACTTACTTTTCTGGAACCAGTGACTTTCATTTCATACACATCGATGGTATAATTTGTCCTACGTCCATAAGTGTCAAATTGGATGTTTCCAGTCATTCCTTGTACTTGCACCTGGTAGAAAGGAAAACATAAAATTTTAAAATAGCACCACATTACTGAAGGCAGTGGGATGCCCTAGTTCTCTGGGATGAGGTCTGCTGACAGATCTTGGATTCTTGGAGAATTTTATCTCAAGTCATTGAGCTATATATTTACCAGGTAATGTTTGTACAGATCTTCATTTTCTCTCCAGTATTTTCTAGGTATACCTTTTTAATTATGAAGCTTCAAGTGGGTATGAGAAGCAGTCACCTATATGATACAATGAGGGCCCTACCATCACTTTTTCAAGGGCCTTAGATTTCTACCTTTAGTCACATAAGGGAGTAGCCCAAAGAGTTGTCTTAACTAGGTTAATGCATTCTTCTAAACAGTGAGTTCTATGGGGGCTGTGGCTGAGTCTTATCTTAGTATTCCGAAAATCTGAACATGAACTGGTTTCAGTAACATGGCCTCTGGAGCTCCTGGATGCATATTCTAGCTTCATCACTTACTAACTGTATGGCCTTGAGTATGTTGTTTAATACTTTTGTACCTCAATATTCTAATCTGTAATATGGGAAATCCTAGAAGTACCTATTTCTCTAAATTGTTGGGAGCATTAAATGAGTTATACACATGTTATGTTTAAAACAGTGTCTGGCATGTAGTAAACATTGAAATACATGATAGCTATATTAATAATTATTATTAATCAAAATGAATTTAGTGCTGTTACTTGAAAGAGTCACACATTTACCAGCTACCCCAGTAACATGTATGAGTTTTTCTTATTTTTAACCTATGCCCAGCTACAGACAGGTAGCAGAAAGCTAGACCATGGAGGGAGAATCCACAGACTGATGAGGTTGGTTAAGTCTAAGGTATCAGGAGTATGGAGTATTAGATAAGAAAGGTAGAGATACTGGAATAGCCTGACCACCAATTTGGAATACCAAATGCAGATTCATGTATGCCACAATTTTTCCTAGGTCTGGGCTCAGTATTATAAACTAATAAGAGGACATTTCTGCTGGGTGGAGCGATTTCCTTAACTACTTTACAGTTCAGGGATACTGCATGAAAGACCCTCTATAAATATAAGTCAGTATTGTTATCCACTTGAATTATTCATTTGGTGAGTAATGGTTGAGAAATTTGCTTCAAAGGAAAAGAATCTCATTTTCCTAGGATAAAAGGATGGAATACTTTTTCATCACTTAAAGAAAGTGACAAGCTGTAAGCAAGTCAGAAGTGGTAATAGGCTTGTGCTTTAGAAGGCAAAACTGATGGTAAATACTAGGGAACATCTTTTTAAAGGGAAAGGAGCTTCTTTACCACCAACAAGAAATTTGGATTCCTGTTGAAGGAGAAATGCTCCAATGTGACCTCCTGAAGACAAGATGATTGTCCTACTGACCTAACAAACCTAAGCAGTATTGTCAGCTTAGGCTTGCAGAGAAGATGATGTCACACTTATAGTTAAAGACAAAGTCCTTTCTTGAGATAGAAATTACTTATCCAGTAGAATGGATCTGGTGCATTCTGTGATGCATGAAAGGTTCTTTACAGTCTATTTTGAACATTGACTTCTAGGAGAGAAGATAGATAGGGCAGAGACACTGGCAAAGGAACTTATTAAGAAAATCCTTGATTACTGAAAATAGCAAAGGTTTCAAGTCTCATTAAAAATTGTATATTTCTCAATTACATCACAGAAATGGTGGCATGAGGAGTGTTTCTTGAAACTGCCCCTGGAAGATACAACAAATTGAACAGCTATAATTCAATAAAAGATTCCCTGTGCAGCACACAGGAACAGCTAAGAGACCCGCAAGTCAAATCACCTGAAGGTGGGCAAATTGGGCAATGGGGGAGGAGGGAAAGGGGAAGTGCAGAGATGTGGACGTCAGGTCACAGGACACAGACCAGAGTAGTTGCGAGAGAGTAAAGAATCCAGGCTGCAAGTGCTCTCCTATGGCCGACAGTCCTACCTGAGCGATCAGCATATAATACCGCTGAACCCAGTGCTCACAGGCAGAGACCTCGAGCAAAGACTGAATATAGAAGGGTGAGCATGGTGGTTTAAACGCTTACTGCCAGACAGAAAACACACAGATCCTGGCTGCCTCCCCTAACCCTCCCAGAGCTTGCCCCACCACCACCCTCCCAGGGTTAGAAGCGGGCTCTAGAAGAATAAGTAGCAGTGTCAGATTAAAGAACAGAATATTTACAACCCTGAGAACTGCAGCCCTGCACAACAGACACACAGTGCAGCTAATTTCAACAAAACGGAAGGAACTGCAGGGACAAGACATTGTGGACTGTTAGTCGCCATTGTTCAGAGCCACTTCTCCCAGCCCACTCCGCGCCCCTTTTTCTGGGTAGATCCCTGCAGGGGTAACCAGAGTGCTGACAAACACACGCTGTGCATTAGGCTGCAGGGGAAACACTGAGACTTAAGAAGCTCCAATCTCTATCACCCTCCACATTCACCCATGGACGTGGTACACTGAGACACAGGGGACCTGCTCACAGAGAAGAAGCCCACCTTTTGGGAACCCCCCCCCATCACATGATAAGCCAGAACAGTACAAGAGGAAATATAATGCTATAGCATGAGAAATAATAAAAGGCTGCAGCGGGAGAGAAAATAAAACATTCCACCAACACCTACTGGAAAGCAAAAGAAAGACCTCTTCATATCAACCTGCTACAGAGCCCACTCCTGTAGATGCCCAGGAGACATAATAATTCATTAATTTCCACAAATAACCAAGGTTGCAAGGCAACTCAGAGAGAAAGTGAAAACTCTACAGAAAGCGAACTTAAAGACATGGAAATGTGTGACTTAGATGACAGAGAATTCAAGATTGCAATTTTGAAAAAACTCAGTGAGATGCAAGAAAACACAGACAGGCAGTTTAATGAACTCAGAAACACAATCAAAGAACAAAATAAACGTTTACCAAAGAGATTGAAATTGAAATTTTTAAAAAGAACCAAATAGAAATTCTGGCGATTAAGAACTCAATAAAATAAATGAAGAATGAGGGTGGCTGGGTGGCTCAGTTGGTTAGAGCGCATGCTCTGAAAAACAAGGTTGCCAGTTCAATTCTCGCATGGGATGATGGGCTGCACCCCCTGCAACTAGAGTGAAAATAGCAACTGGACTTGGAGCTGAGCTGAGCCCTCCACAACTAGATTGAAGGAAAACAACTTGACTTGGAGCTGATTGGTCTTGTAAAATACACACTGTTACTCAATAAAATAAAATAAAAAGAAAAAAAGAAATGAACAATGAAACAGAGAGCTTAGGTAATAAAGATGACCAGATGGAGGAAAAAGTTAATGACATTGAAGATAGAAATCTGGAAATGACACAGATGGAAGAAGAGAGAGGCTTGAGAGTTAAAAGAAATGAAAGAACTCCACAAGAACTTTCTGACTTCATTAGAAACGGCAACATAAAAATAATGGGTACACCAATGGAAGAAAGAGAGAAGGGAAAAGAGAGTATATTCAGACATATAGTTGACAAGAAATTCACAAACACATGGAAAACACTGGATCCTTGAATCCAAGAAGCAAATAGAACACCTAATTACCTCAATCCCAGCAGGCCTTCTCCAAGGCACATTGTATTGAAGCTTTCAAAAATTAAGAACAAACAAAAAATCCTCAAGGCAGCCAGGGAATGAAAGACAGTAACCTAAAAAGGAACACCCATTACATTACCATCAGACTTTCAGCATAAACTCTACAAGCCAGGAGGGAGTGAAATAAAATATTATGAGAGAAATTATGAGCCAAGAATAATATATCCAGCAAAGATATCCTTCAATATGAAGGAGGAATAAAGACATTTCCAGACATACAGAAGCTAAGGGAATTTTCTAACACACGACCTGGATTACAAGAAATACTGAAGGAAGCTATTCAACCTGAAACAAAAAAATCAAAAAATATAAAATGATGAGTAGTATTATGAACAGACAGACAGAAGCAGGAAATGGCAACCCCTACATAAAATACGGCCCTATACACGTAAGCATATATACAGGGTAAAGAAAAAGAAAAAAAAACATTAAAAACAGGAAAAATAAGAAAAAAACAACTTGCTAGTGCAACTCAGAAATCAACTCACAAGTAGGGATAACTTATGACAATTAAAACATAAAAGGGGAGAGAGTAAATGTCTGAACGACCACCAGGGAATGGAGAAAGGAAGCATGCAGAAAAATATGGAATACTCTAAATATGAAACTCTCTTTTACACAAACTTAATGGTATCCACTCAAAAAAAGAAACCTAGAACTGAAATATAGAACATAAAAAAAAAAAAGAAACGGGGCATGGGGGGAATCATAGAATACCACTGCACTGAATTAATAGACAGCAACAAAAATGCAAAGAAACAATGGAGACACCATCCTATTAGAAAACCAAAGGTAGAATGATAGGAAATTCTCATATATCAATAATCATACTAAATGTAAATGACTAAAATCACCAATAAAAATGCACAGAGTAGCAGACTGGATAAAAAAACTAAACCTAACCATATGCTGCCTCCAAGAGACACATCTCAGCTACAAGGACAAATATACACTTTTAATGAGAGGGTGGAAATTGACACTGCAAGCAAATTGTATTCAGAGAAAAGCAGGTGTATTCATACTGATATCAGATGAAACAGACTTCAGGATAAAAAAGGTAACAAGAAACAAATATGGACATTTCATAATGATAAATGGGACTATACAACAAGAAGACATAACAGTCATCAAAATTTATGCCCTCAATTAAGGACCAACAAAACATACAATGTGACTACTAACAGAACTAAAGGGAGAAATTCACTAAAACACAATTATAGACCTAAATACATCATTGACAGCTATGAATACATCATCCAAACAGACAATAAATACGGAAATACCAGCCCTAAATGACTCATTAGATGAAATTGACATTTATAGAGCACTTCATCCTAGAACAACAGACTACACATTCTTTTCTAGTATACATGA